GTGGATGGTGCCCTGGCCAGTTTGGCTCAGTGGTTAGAGTGTCAGCCATGGACTGAAGGGTCCAGGGTTCGATTCCAGCCAAGGGCACGTACCTTGGTTGCAGGCTTATTCCCTGGCCCCAATCAGGGTGCATGGGGGAGGCAACCAATCAATGTGTCTCTCTCACATCGATGTTTCTCTCACTCTCTCTTCCTTCCACTCTCTCTGAAAAGCAAGGGAAAAAAATATCCTCATGTGAGGATTAAAAAATAAATAAATAAAAATAGAAATAAAAATCCCTGTGGAGCAGACCCCCTTAGCATCCTCACAGAGAAGACTAAGGTCTTGGAGAAGTTAAATTACTGGCCCAAGAGCACACGTGTGGCAGAAGTAAAATCTTTCCGACCACACACAGGTCTAAAACATGCCGTACCTGCCCCTACCGAAGAAGCCTCGCACCGTCTCCAATTCTTCCTACTATAAACAAGGCTTCAGTGAGCACTCCTGTACATGTAGCTGTGTCCCCTTGAGCATCTGTGGGTTGGATGACTAGAAATACTGGACTCATGCTCCTTTTCAAGTTTGATAAATTCTTGCCCCCAGAGAGACTACCAATTCACACCCCACCAGCAGGACACTCAAGTCTCCTTTTCTCCACAACCTCCTCAGGACTTGATACAAATAGTCTTTGCATCTGTGTCCATTTGTTAGGTGAAGAATCACACTTTTGACACAGGAAGGGACTACCTTTGCTCTGTGCAGACCTAAGTCTGGCACTCCAACCTCACAGCCCATGGCAGGTATTATCTTGCTTTACTGACAATAAAACTGAGGCCCAAAGGGTGAAGGAGTTTGTCCAAGGCCCCACAACTGGAAAGGGAAGGTCCCTGGACTTCCGTCCCCACCACTGGAGTGTAGCACTTTGGCCAGGCTATGCAGGAAGCTTCTTAAAGAGGTGCTTTTAGAGACAAAGGGAGATAAGGACCTGGAAAAGAGGCCAGGAGGCAACAGGTGGAACTCTGTAAAACTCAGAATAATACTTGTCCCTTCAGAAGTTCTCTTGTGTTAGTCGCCATGGACAGTAAGTGGCATGGGGCCAGTGGCACCTCTTAGATGGGGATTGGTATCCTGTGATCACAGATGTATTAGTCAGGTCTTTTCTGGATAAAAATGATGGAAACCCAACTCAAAATAACTAAAGGGAGATGTTTTTTATTTGCTCACATAACCAAAGCTAAACATAGCATTGTCTTCAGGCATGGCTGGATCCAGGTTCTCAAAAGATGACTCTCTTTATCCCTTGACTCTGCTTTTTTCTCTGATGACTTTATTCTTAAGCAGGCACTTCTGACAATGGGACAAAGATGTCAGCTGCATCTCTCTTCTAGCAACTTAACAATTCCATAGAGCATACCTGTTTTTCACTAGAGGAAGCAAAAATCATAGGGCTACTTCTCATTGGCCCAGACTTGGTCATGTGCCCTTCCTTGACCCAATCACTATGACTTTGATGTGCCCACCCTTGCAGACAGGTGGGGTTGGGGTGCAAATGGTCAATACCACAGATACTGAGAATGGAGAGAAGGTACTTCTCAAAGGGAAATCTGGTCTCTGCTACCAAAATAAGGGAGGGGGGCAGAGTTCATGAGGGAGAAACGTCAGCCGTTCTCTAGAACAAGAGAAGGCAAGACCAAAGATCGCATATGAGATTACGCGAAGAGCGTGGGAAAGAGGGAGCGTGGGGTGGGGATCAGGGATGGCTGCCTGGAGGGAAGTTAGGGAAAAGAAAAACACTGACGCTCTGCTGAGCCCCCCAACAGCCCACTTTGCCAAGTTGAACCTGAGGCCCGAGAACACTGGGGAGAAGTCTCAATCATCCCTCCCCCTCCTGCCCCAGAAGGGAATAGAAAAATGAAGGCTTGGCACATAGGCCCTCCCTAGGTGTTGCCAGCTCCTGCCTCAGAGGAGCTGATTCCAAGGTTACTGATGCTGGTGGAATCAGCGAGATCGGCATTTACTGATGGCCTTTGGTATGCAGGAGGTGACATAGGCGCAGTGGGACATAAAAATGAGCAGTCTCTAGAGTTCACAGTCTAGCTGAAAAGAGGCCCGGGATCGATATTCTAATAGGGAGGCAGCCTTCAGAGCCAGGCACGCCTAGTTCCACCTCAGTCCTGCCACTTATTACTCTTAACCTCTCCAAGTCTCGGGATCTTTATCTAGAAAACAGGGCCATTAATGTCTGTGTATGACAGTTGTGGGGGTCCACACGGGGTGTAGAAAGCACCCCGTGCAGCAGCTGGCACATAATGTGTGTGCAACAGTGGCTAACGGTTGGCACTGTCTGCGGTAAGTACTATAATAGAATCACCCAAGGTGGGTTTTTCCTGATTTCTTTGTTCAAACTTCATCCTGTTGCTCCTAATATCATGGGTTTGTTAACCAACCCGTGCTTCCCCTGCGTTCCGCCGCGGCCTCCATCCCTTCGAGGCCTTGTCCCCCCACATCTGTCCCCTACAGACCATATTCAGGGCCCTGTCCTGAGCCCTCTCCAGCCCCTTCCATCTTCGGAAGGCCAGTGACTGGGATGGCACAGGGCCGTGGGCAGTGGACACACCTGCGTGCTGGGCACCCAGCAGCCCGAGTGGGAGTCCGGTGGGAAGCGATCAGCCCGAGGGTCGGCCCTGGGATGTCCGCAGCCTCCCTGCGGACGGCCCGGCGTCTCAGGAAGCTCTTGGGATCTGGGATCTGTGGAGCTGCATTTGAATCCCAGGCTCTCGCGGTGGATCCTTGAGCCTCAGGGTCCTTGTCTGCAGAAAGAGGACCCATCCCCCTACCTAATAAAGTGGCTAAGAGCATGGCTGCCTGGGTTTGATGCCAGCTCTGCCAGCTCTCTGACCTTGGGCGAGTTACTTAATGTCTCAGGACCTAGGGTTGTTTGGTTTTTTATCTCTAAAATGGGGATATTAACAGTTATTATGGGGACTCAGTGAATTATATGTAAAGTGCTTAGCTCAGTTCTTGGTGCATAGTAAGTGTATGTTTTCATTTTCTTGTGAGGTTTTTTTTTGAGGTATAATCAACATTTAACATATTATTTCAGGTGTACAATATGATTCAATATTTGTACATACAGTAGACCCTTGAACATGGGTTTGAACTGCATGAGTCCATTTATGTGCAGGTATTTTTCAATAAATACACATTCAGCCCTCCCTATCTGCTGGTTTTACATCTGCAGATTCAACCAATCATGGATCAAAAATAGCATTTTCCGTCTATGGCTGGGAATCCATGGATGCGGAGGGCCAACTGTATGCATTGCTCTGCGCCATTTTATGTAAGGGACTTTAGCATCTGTGGATTTTGGTATCCACGGGGATCCTGGAACCAATCCCCCGCAGATTCTGAGGGACAACTGTAGTTAAGTTAAAAAAAATGTTTTTTAATGTTTTTTATTGCTTTTAGAGAACAGAAGGGAGAGGGAGAAAGAGAAAGAGACAAACACTGTTGTGAGAGAAACATTGATCGGTTGCCTCCCATAGGCACCCCCACAATCAGGGATCCAACCCACAACCTGGGTATGTGCCCTGACTGAAAATTGAACCCAGGACCCTTCAGTGTACGGGAAGACACTCCAGCCACCTGAGCCACACCAGCCAGGGCTGTAGTTAAGTTTATGAGGAGTCAAAAGTTATACTTGGATTTTGGACTTTGCGGGGGTGGGGGTATTGGTGCTCCTAACCCCACATTGTTGCTCAGTGGTTGGAGTGTTGCCCTCCCACCCCCGGCACAGAAGAGTCCCGGGTTCTATTGTCGGTCAAGGGCACATACCTGGGTTGCAAGTTCGATCCCCGGCCCCGGTCGGGGGGCATGTGAGAGGCAACCCATGGATGTGTCTTTCACATCAATGTTTCTCTCTCTCTATCCCCCCTCCCTTCCTCCCTTCCACTCTCTCTAAAAATTAATGGAAAAAATATCCTCAGGTGAGGATTAATATATAAAAAAAGATTTACTCTCTTAACAACGTTCTTTTTTATTTCTTAATTGTTTATTTATAAAGAGAACTATTCCTTTGCTCAAATGTTCATGTTTCATAATTCAGGAACACAGGTCAGTGACTAACTTCCACGGAATTCAACCCAAAGAAATTCTTTACATTCCAAGATCGCTTTGCCCTCGAAAGATGCCAGCCTTCTTCATCCCCCCCAAATCTTTCATGGAATTACAGTAGAAATCTGCATGTGCCTTCTTTCTCGGGTCAGCCACAGCAAACTTACAGAAAGCTGCAACCCCCAGGGATACAGGGATCGCTCCAACAATGTGAAACCGCAGACGCTCGGCCAGAAGGCCACGCATCTGAGGTTTCGGCAAAGCCCTGGAAGGCATGGTAGTTTTTTCTCCTCAACACTGTCCTTCCTGATGGAGAAATGGACTCTCGGCAACTTCCAAATATGCAATGCAATACTAGTAACCATAATCGTCATGGTGGACATCCCCATGACTTGTTTTATACCTGGAAGTTTATAACGTTGACCTGCTTCTCTCATTTCCCCCACCCCCACCCCCTACCTCTGGCAACCACCAGTCTATTCTCTAAATCTGCAAGGGTTTTTTGTTTTGCTTTGTTTTTTAGATTCCACATATAAGCAAGATTATACATATTTGTCTTTCTCTGTCTGACATTTTTCACTTAGCGTACTGTCTTCAAGTTCCATCCCCATTGATGCAAATGACAAGATCATTTTTTTTCTTTTTTTATTAAATTTATTGGGGTGACAATGGTTAATAGGAACATATAGGTTTCAGGTCTGTGTTTCTATGTTACAAGATCTGTATAAGACCATTCTTTTTTATGGCTGAATAATAATCCATATATATATATATGCCTTAGTTAGGATTGAACTGAGTAATGTGTGCAGAGGACCTGGCCAGGATGGGGATGGGGCAGAGAGGTGGGAGCTGTCTCTAGGCCCAGTTTTGGTTGGGGTGCAGGAAAGCTAACTGCCACTCTGTCTCAGGTGCTGTCCCATAACCTGTACACGGTCCTGCACATCCCCCATGACCCTGTGGCTCTGGAGGAGCACTTCCGAGATGATGACGATGGTCCCGTTTCCAGCCAGGGATACATGCCCTACCTCAACAAGTACATCCTGGACAAGGTGGGGCCCAGCCTGGGGGAAGCACCTCTAACCTCTCCCCATCTCCCAGCCAGCATCCCAATACATTTCCTCCCCCTATAAACTCCCACTTCGGTCCCCTCTGTACAACTGCTCTCCCATTTCCACCCTTCACTTCCCAGCCACTCGCACCTTCCTTGCCCCCCTTAACTCCCTTCAGTCTCCCTCATCTCTCCTAGCCTCCACCCTGCCCGTAACTTCCCATCCATCCCTCCCTAGGCCCACCTCCAGCTTCCAGCTGTAACCTGTAAAAAGAGTTCCCCAGCTTCCCCCTAGTGCTGTCCCCCCGCTCCTGCCAGCTGTCACTGTCTTCTCAGGTTCTTCTTGACTGTCCATTCCCCCCGGGCCTCCCCTTCTTTCTCCTTGGGGCTAAGGGACTAGAGTTTCTCTGTTGGCAGGGAACTTGGGTGGGTATGGATGTGTGTGTCAGGGGTGAGGGGGCGCAGGGTGGTTGGAACCAGCTGGTTACCTGGTAATCAGCTCAGTTAGAGCTGGACTTGGCTGGGTGGACAGCAGGAGAGTAGATGATCCGAGAAACCAGCTGGAGCCTGGTGTGGGGTAGAGCCGGGCCGGGACAGCCTTCCTGGCTGACCTGCAGGCCTGGTGGCAGGTGGAGGAGGGGGCTTTTGTTAAGGAGCACTTTGATGAGCTGTGCTGGACCCTGACGGCCAAGAAGAACTACCGGGTGGATAGCAACGGGAACAGCATGCTCTCCAACCAGGATGCCTTCCGCCTCTGGTGCCTCTTCAACTTCCTGTCTGAGGACAAGTACCCTCTGATCATGGTTCCCGATGAGGTGAGGGTGATGGCAGCCCCGGCGACCGAACCACTTGGGGCCAGGCCTCAGCAGAACCGCGAAGGCAGCCAAATCACCTTTGTGCTCTCCCACACCCCCTTTCTGCTTTCTCTTCCCATGTTGACCTGTCCGCGCCCAGCCGTCTCCAGGTGCCTAGAACTGCCCCCATCAGGGCACCTGTGCCCTCTCCCAGGAGAGCCAAAGCTACACTCTCCTCGGGCTCTGCTGGCCCTCACAGTAGGAAAGTGACCTGCCAATTCTGTTTATAGAGAGATGTAAATGCCTGATGCATTACTGGGCATTTAAGAACAAAAACATTTAAGATCAAATGGCAGGATTTTAGGCTCTGTGGCAGGGCAGTGGGAGAAGGGTGCTCTATGAGGGAAAGGGAGACCTCTCTGGGACATCTCTCCAGTTACTCCAGCTGGACAACTGAGTCTGATCCTGGCTCTAGATTTTGCCATCCTGTCTTCTGCAGTATAAAGGAGCCAGGGCAGATTCAGCGCAGGACCCCAGAGAGGTTTCCTGGGAGCAGAGGCCTGGAGTCCCACCCCTTCCTCAACTCGTCAGTGAAGCCAGGGCATGTGCCCCCTTTTCCAGTCAACCTGCCCCCTCCCTCTGTTCTCCACCCCCCTCCCATCCGCACAGCCTTCTGCCGACCCTAGCCCTCTGGGTGAATTTAGGCCTTTAGATTAGGGTGTACAGGGAGGGGTCCACTGTGTTCACAGAAGTATGTGCATGTCTAACTTCACTCAGATTTGTATCCTCGCTTCTGCTTGTGGGAAGATTGAGGGGAGCCACAGCCCTCAACTGGCGCACCCCACTCCCAGCTGAGACCCAGTCGCCCCCAGAGTAAAAGTCCTGGAGAGGGTTTCCCAAGAAGCTGCTGGGGCGGGAGAGGGACGCATGTCCATCTACACAGGCACCTAGTTGGCACCCTTGCCAGACCCCTGCCAGCCAGGGTAAGGCGGCCTCTCAGAAGGCCGCTTGCTGCTGTGATCAGCGTGCAGTGTGAACTAACTGCAGCAGGATGTACCCCAACCACCACTTCCTGTTCCTCTGCAGCAGGTTTCCTGTCCCTGCCTTGCTTACCCCCACACCCAGTCCCCTCGACCTCCCATAGGGAGGATCCACAGGGTTGGGGCTTGGAATAGGACCCACGTGGGATTCAGGAGATCCGAATCAAATTCTGGCTGCCAGCAACTTGCTGTGTGATTTAGAATAAGTCACTTCCCCCTTTGGGCCCCAGTTTTGTCATCCGCTAAGTGAGAGTGTTGGATGAGAGGGCTCTTGCACCCCCTCTGATATTTTCTGTGATGTGCTGCCTCTGCCTGGCCCCTCGCCTGCAGCTCCTACCTTCACCTGCCCTCAGCTTAAGGCAGGAAGGAGTGGGACCATAGATTGGGGAAAGGGAGAAGATGCCTGAGCTGGGGTTGGGGCTCCAGGATCCCCTCCCAAATCTCTACCCTGGTCCACCAGTTTAGCTCTCCGCCCCCATCCCAAACCCCCTGTTCCTGGTCACCTCTGCTCAGGCTCTGGGAGCCAGGTGGGAGCGCCCCCTAGTGTTGGTACCAACAACACAGCCTGCTGCAGTCACCAGGCCTTCCTTCTCCCCCTGCAGGTGGAGTACCTGCTCAAGAAGGTGCTCAGCAGCATGGGCTTGGAGGTGGGCTTGGCAGAGCTGGAGGAGCTGCTGGCCCAGGAGGCCCAGGCAGCCCAGACCACCGGGGGGCTCAGCGTCTGGCAGTTCCTGGAGCTCTTCAACTCTGGCCGCTGTCTGCGAGGCGTGGGGCGGGACACCCTCGGCATGGCCATCAACGAGGTCTACCAGGAGCTCATCAAAGATGTCCTGAAGCAGGTCAGGCCAAGCTGGGAACTAGGGGAGGACCCCGAGGAGGAGCGAAGGGGGCCAGTGAAGCCTCTGACTTTGCTCTGGCTGGCAGGGCTACCTGTGGAAGCGAGGGCACCTGAGGAGGAACTGGGCAGAACGCTGGTTCCAGCTGCAGCCCAGCTGCCTCTGCTATTTTACGAGCGAGGAGTGCAAAGAGAAAAGGGGAACTATCCCCCTGGATGCGCAGTGCTGCGTGGAGGTAAGGGGGCAGGCGAGGGTGGGCACGCTCAGGACCCAGGGCCTCAGTGTGGCATGAGGGCAGGCCCTCAGGAGGAGGGTCAGTGGAGAAAAGCCGGTGACAAATTTCTGCTTAGATGAGTGGAACCTAAATATACCTGAGTATCTCAAGGCCATTCTCATCCATGTCAGGGTGAGGTTTTTGTGTGTGTGTGTTTTTTGTTTTTTAAAGCAAACTGCAAATGAGATACTAAAATCGTTGTTGAGTAATGTGGATTTCGCTAAAGATTTTAGAGGAGATGGCTTACGTCTCACGCTACACAGCAAAACTTCCTCAAAATCCTCTTTAAAGGTCCTTCCCCTTCACCCAAAGGCCATTCCCTTTGACAACACTATACACTCCTCTCCTTTTCCCCCTTCCCCTCCCCTTTTCTCCCTTGGCTCTGTCTATTATTATTTTTGAGGCTTAAAACAAAATTTTTTAAATTGTAGTAAAAATATATGTATAACATGAAATTTGCCACTTTAAGTGTACAATTCTCAAGCATTAAATACATTTACGGTGTTGTGGAACCATCACCATAGTCTGTTTCCAAAACTTTTCCATTGTCCCAAATAGAAACTCTGTACCCATTGGGTAATAACTCATCCTCACCCAGCCCCACTTTCTGTCTCTATGAATTTGAGTATCTAGGTACCTCATATAAGTGAAATCATATAATATTTGTGTGTTTTTTGTGTCTGGCTTATTTCTTTTAACATAATGTTTCCAAGGTTCATCCAAGTTGCGGCATGGATCAGGACTTCATGCCTTTTCACGGCTGAATAATATTCCATTGCAGATATATGCCATTTTGCTCATCCACTTATTCGCTGATAGACACTGGCTTGTTGCCATCTGTTTCCTCTTGTGAATACTGCTGTTGTGAATAGCCACGTACAGATTTCTGGGTGGAGATGTGTTTTCATTTATCTGGGTGCATACCTAGGAGTAGAATTGCTGGATCACAGGGTTACTCTGTTTAACTTTTAGAGGAACAGCCAAACTGTTTTCTATAGTGGCTGCACCATCTTACATTCTTACCAGCAGTATATGAGGGTTCCTATTTCTCCACATCCTCACCGACACTTGTCATTTTACATTTTTAAAAATTATTATAGCCACCCTAGGCTCTGTCCATTTTTTGTCAAATGAGGAAATAGGTGTTACTGTAGAAAGAACACAGATCTAGGCAGGCAGAGATCCCAACTCCACTAGTAAGAAGCTGTGTGAATTGGGCAAGTTCCTGGACCTCTTAGAGCCTCAGTTTCTTTCTCTGTAGAGTGGAGATAATGATGCCTGCCTGGCAAGGTTGTCTGGGAGGAGTGAACAAAATGATGCCTACGAAACACTAGTACAGACCCTAGAACATAAGAAGCTCAAAACATGGTTTCCACTAGAATGTAGCTTAGGGAAAGCAGGGATTGGGTCTGTTAGGCACACCTCAGTGTCCCAAATGCCTAGAGCAATGAGTGGCACTCAATGGGCACTCCAAAACATCTATGAAATGAATGAATGGAGAACGTTCTCAACAGGCAGGGTCATGTGAAAATGAATGGTCTGAGTAGTGAGGACCCTGTCACTGGAGGTGTTCAAGCATGATCTGTATAAACACCGAGTAGCTGGGGACTAGATGCTAGGCCCCATGGGGAGATACCAAGATGAAAACAGCCCACCCCACCTTCAAAGAGCAAAGCCCCCCCTTAACTGGGGCTCCTGGCAGACAGAGTGGGGGGGTGCCCAGGGAAGATGGCCAGCCAGGAGGGGTAGGGGCTGGAGCTGGAGCACCCTGGGGCAGGACCGTTGTGCCCATGACCCCAGCGAAGCCAGGCTGTCTGGGCCCCCTGCCCCCTCCCAGGTGCTGCCGGACCGCGAGGGAAAGCGCTGCATGTTCTGTGTGAAGACGGCCTCCCGCACGTACGAGATGAGCGCCTCGGACACGCGCCAGCGCCAGGAGTGGACCGCTGGTGAGTCGCTCGGCGGTGGCCTGGCTGTGGCCGGGCCTCAGTCGCCTCCTCGGTGTAAAGGGGGCGATGACGCTTTGCCCAGTGGGAGGCTGGAGACGCCTGGAGCGACTCCTAAGGCCCCCTTCCTGCGGAGGAGGGGGGCACGGCTAGCCCCCCGCTGACCCCCTCTCNCCTCTCGCCCCCCCCGCAGCCATTCAGATGGCGATCCGGCTGCAGGCCGAGGGGAAGACGTCGCTGCACAAGGACCTGAAGCAGAAGCGGCGCGAGCAGCGGGAGCAGCGGGAGCGGCGCCGGGCAGCCAAGGAGGAGGAGCTGCTGCGGTTGCAGCAGCTGCAGGAGGAGAAGGAGAGGAAGCTGCAGGAGCTGGAGCTGCTGCAGGA